CCGGTAGATGACGTCGCCCAGGAGCTGAGGCAGGGCCCACCTGTCCTGTCACCATGCCATCCTCTTCAACGCCACTCGAACCTCACTACCAACGCGAGACATCGTGACACGTCGAAGCTGTGCTCTACTGTGGCAGCCATGGTTAACAACAATCCATCATGACTGTTTGGGGAGCGATAAGAAGAGGTGAACCCGGGTTCCTGTTAGCGGGGTCCACCTGAGCTGACAGCCGCCAGCTGTCAGCTGTCACTCAAGTCAGGTGCGGGTAGTACGAGACCCCCTGTACTGTCCGTAGTTGGCCGAGGCCGGAAATGGAACTTCCAGACGACCAAGATCTTCAAGCAACATGAGGTAGTCGCCGGAATCTACAGCAACGAAATGTCAACAGGAACGAAAGAGAGAAAATATTTATAGAAAAGTTTCATATACAAATAAACGCTATTAATATAGTAAACTGTGGTAACTCGGAACAGTTCAACTTTTAATTTTCCATCTGATAGTAAGCACCTATACACCTTCGGAAAGTTCTCTGGACCAGTATTAAATGTTGAAAACTAGAATTAGTGAAATAGAGAAATAAATCTAGAAAGTGAACATTAGAAAACGACCCTGTCTCTAGATAAGTTGTATGAGTGAACTGGTTTGAGAACCATCTAGTAGGATCTCTAGAAACGTTGATCAGTGGGGAACTTTATCTAGATTTTTCTAGATCCTAGATACTGATAGTTATACATATATTTTTTTTTTAATTTTTTTTGTGGTTTACTGAACAATAAGGGTGTGGTACACAGTCTGACAAATGTGTTCACCCGCTGTTGTTGTGGACTTGAATATGAACTCTGGGATATTAGGAGTTTGAGGAACTTATATCCAGAGTGTTGTTGTTGGTTAAGGGACATGTCTGTGGACATTGAATTTTTTTTAATAATAAAAATATTTCTGTGTCTTTTCTTTAGATTTTAAGATTGGGATGCGCTGTGGTGGACAGTTGCCACAGGTGTGGAGTGGAACACTAGGTCCCTGAGAGGTAGTGTTCTTCTATGTTGATATAATTTTATAATTTTGTTAATTTTTTTTAATGACATTGATTTTTTTTTTATTTAATGTTTTGTGTGATGTGTTTGATCTTTATTCCGGGTGGAATACTGGGATAGCTGAAGGCTATCAGCTGATTTTAGCTAGTTAGTAATTGTTAGGTTGGGATTTCTCCAGTTATTTGTTACTATATCAAGACAGGTATAGGATATTTTGTCTTCCAGGTAGTTGGAAGGGTACGTGGCTGCATCCAAGTGGACAGTCAGGATTATAAGGACGGTCTCTGTCCTTATGTTTTATGTATTATTACTGTTGTGTTGATAGGTATAAATACATGCTGGGGCACACCTTTTGGGTGTGCCGTTATTGTTGTTGGAGTATTGGATGGAATTAGTTAGGATTAGATAATTTCTTTTGTTTTGAGGCATTGGTTTAAAATAGTGTTGGGTTAAAAATGTTGTTTTTGGAGTTAATGGTTAGGGTAGGGCAGGATTTCTGGATAAGAAAAGTGTGTGTAACTTGCTTTACACACAAATTTCTTAATTTCCGAGGAGGGGGAGTTGTGATGATCTGGGGCTCAGATCATTGGTTCTCCCTTCTCCCCTCTTTTCCCTCCCCTTCTCCCCTCCTTTCCTTCTCCCTCTCCCCTCCTTCCTTCTCCCCTCCCCTTGGCCGTCATTCGTCTCCTCCTCTTCCCCCCCCCTGTCGCCCATTTGTCAGGGTCAAGAGGTTGACCTGAGGGTAGGGTGGTCGTGGATACCTTGGCTTCTCCCACTCAATTCCCCACTCAGATATTTCCCTCTCCACCCCCTCTCATCCCTCTCTGTCCCTCTCAGCAGCGGCCTTCCCCATACCAGGCAGAGTCAAATGTCCCTACTCCTATCTTAGAGGAGACAGGCTTGAACATAAATTATCAGTTTTGTAAACATTGCTCGCAGGTGCCTGGGCTCCATAGACGCGCCTTGTCCCTCTTCTCTTTAGCTGGGGAGAGCTGACTCAATCTTCAGAAATTCATGTAGCTTTCCACGACAGATCAGTGACGGTGATTGGCCTGAGATAAGGGCCAAGTCCTTATTGGCCCTAGAGAGCCAGACCTCAGGCCTACGTGTTAAATGGTTGGCCAGTGCCAAAATAATGGGTGGAGCCCTGGGGCTGTATTAGATGGTGGGAGGAGCAATCCTTCCCAGCAATAAGTTGGAAAAACTAAATTTCATCAGTGTGTCTTGGGAGTGTATTAGGAACAGGGCCGCAAGCCCGTATCCTCGGGGCTGAGGGCAGCCATCAACATCGTGGCCGTAGTGCGGGTATTTAAGGTAGAGTAGCACTTGAGTTTTGTGTCCTCGGTAAATATCCATTGTGCCTCTAGGGAAATAGAATAGGTTATGTGTTCAAATTGTCTTAATTTACATGTTTCATAAAATAAATTGTATAGCTTGTCCAGTGGTATTCACTTAACTCCCCTTTGATATATTTTGCTACTTTGTCATTTTTAGGTGTTGTATTGGAAGCCCCCATGTTCTCCTACTATTAATAGATACTAAAGTTGCCCTTGGATTTAAATTAGTAACGTAAATTACACAAACTAATTTTCCAAAATTTATTACTGAAATTCATATTACCCGGAGTCCCATGATTACTGATTCCTTGCCTTCCTGGGGGATCGGTGATAAGACACATTCAGGTATGGTTGGTCAGGAAGGTGGTGGCAGTGTAAATGTGTTTTGTTATTGTTTTTTTTTTTACTAATAACCCTTGTCCTTGGTGTATCTTCCTCATTTAATATTCCTCTTACATACGTGGCAGTCCAGTGAGGGGTCATACTGGACTGTAACAGTGTTAAGCTGGGGTATTGAGTGAAGAGACAGAGATGTACAACAGAGAGCGTATATTACGATCACGAGAGATAACAAGATAACAGGATTAATACTGGGGTACATTGGGTTATTACAATAGAGGCCGCGGTTATTATTAACAGAGGGAAGCGGTCGTTACAACAGGTGGAGACTGAGTACCCACATGAGTCACAGAGGCGTTAGAAAGATCCTTCAGTGTGGGAGTAGTTAACAAGTGGAATGTATTAGGCAGTGATGTGGTGGAGGCTGACTCCATACACAGTTTATAATGTAGATATGATAGAGCCCAATAGGCTCAGGAACCTGTGCACCAGTTGATTGACAGTTGAGAGGCGGGACCAAAGAGCCAGAGCTCAACCCCCGCAAGCACAACTAGGTGAGTAGACTCACTGACAGAGTGCCTCTGCTGTGGTGTAATGTGCTGTACTCTGCTGTGATTTTCTCTGTTATGATATATATTGTGCTCTGCTGTGATGTGCTCTGCTGGGATGTGCTCTGTTGTGATGTGCTCTGCTGGGATGTGCTCTGCTGTGATGTGCTCTGCTGGGATGTGCTCTGCTGTGATGTGCTCTGCTGGGATGTGCTCTGCTGTGATGTGTTCTGCTGTGATGTGCTCTGCTGGGATGTACTCTGCTGGGATGTACTCTGCTGGGATGTGCTCTGCTGTGATGTACTCTGCTGGGATGTGCTCTGCTGGGATGTGCTCTGCTGTGATGTACTCTGCTGGGATGTACTCTGCTGGGATGTGCTCTGCTTGGATGTGCTCTGCTGGGATGTGCTCTGCTGGGATGTGCTCTGCTGGGATGTACTCTGCTGGGATGTACTCTGCTGGGATGTGCTCTGTGATGTACTCTGCTGGGATGTACTCTGCTGTGATGTGCTCTGCTGTGATGTGCTCTGCTTGTGATGTGCTCTGCTGGTATGTACTCTCCTGGGATGTGCTCTGCTGGGATGTACTCTGCTGGGATGTACTCTGCTGGGATGTTCTCTGCTGGGATGTACTCTGCTGGGATGTGCTCTGCTGGGATGTGCTCTGCTGGGATGTACTCTGCTGGGATGTGCTCTGCTGGGATGTACTCTGCTGGGATGTGCTCTGCTGGGATGTACTCTGCTGGGATGTGCTCTGCTGGGATGTACTCTGCTGGGATGTGCTCTGCTGGGATGTGCTCTGCTGGGATGTGCTAATTAAGAGCCTCACGACCAGCCGGAGGTAAGAGTAATTCCCTCCAGTAATTGCAGTATCAGAATTAATAACCAACGCAGCGTTCCTTGAGGGAGATACGAACCGGGACTCGATAGAGTGGAAGTCTGGGTCGATACCTACACCCGCTCCGCGCCCACGTTGTCATCACTAATTACTCCCAGGCCCCTTAATTACGTATTGAATTTCAACTTTTGAATTGCAATTTGCGGTAAAATACAGCAACTCCGTTTAATTGTTTATTTGTGTTGTATTCCGTGTATATGGGGCATTATTTAGATGCGTTGCAAGGTTAGTATATCACATTATCACAAATAGGAGGATAATACGAAATATGTCGCTAACATGTCTCCTTGCAGGAGCAAGGAGACATGTTAGAGAGAGAGACAACCAACCCGAGGCCTCTCCTGTTGCCACAACGGTCAGATAGCGGTGTAGTAAAACGGTCTAAGCCTAACCTTGAGGTTACCTTACCTTACCTTGAGGTGATTTCCGGGGCTCAACGTCCCCGCGGCCCGGTCCTCGACCAGGCCTCCTGGTTGCTGGACTGGTCAACCTGGCTGTTGGACGCGGCTGCTCGCAGCCTGACGTATGAGTCACAGCCTGGTTGATCAGGGATCCTTTGCATGAAGTGAATGCAACTTAGTGAATCCAGACACTGACACTTAGATGAGGTCAACATTTCCGACTTGAGAATGGTCCAGGACGGACCGAAACGTCGTCGTCCCTTCATTTTCTAGTGTGTTTCGGTCCATGCTGGACCATTCTCAAGTCATTCTTGGACTTAAGAATGGTCCAGGACGGACGGAAACATGGTCGTCCCTTCACCTTCTAGCGTGTGGTGTGGTCAACACACACCAGCCACGGTACTGTGACTCCTCGCCTGCATGTACACAAGGTCGAGTACTCACCTCCTTGATACACTCGACGATGGAGTGCTGGGTGTTGAGGTCGAGCTTCTTGATGTTGTCGATGATGTCCTCCTTCCTGGAGGACTGTACAGCACAGCCCAGCACCAGGAGGAGGAGGTGGCGGAGCTCGTGCACGCCCCCACACCCCTCGCCAGCACGGGACAGCTTCACTACGTCAGGCAGACGCAACACAACCGTCTGGCTCAACACCTCCTGCAACACAACACAACATTTCTTAAGTTGAATCACAACGTCTCTGCAAATATTCTATATTAACAAATATCATTCCCAGTAAACATATTACATCAGTGCAAAGGTATTGTACTGATGTTGCGAAGTACAAAGGTCTTTGTTACTGATGTTGAAGATGTTGCACGCAAAACTTACCCTAACCTAACCTTCCTAGGCCTAATGCACGTTATCTATAGTACATATATGTACTATACTAGGCCAAGGATTTTTTTCCGGACTCTATAAAGTGAATAGTAACAAATTCTATCTAATTATCTTCAGATGAGATGATTTCGGGGCTTTAGTGTCCCCGCGGCCCGGTCCTCGACCAGGCATCCATCCCCAGGAAGCAGCCCGTGACAGCTGACTAACACCCAGGTACCTATTTTACTGCTAGGTAACAGGGGCATACGGTGAAAGAAACTCTGCCCATTGTTTCTCGCCGGCGCCCGGGATCGAACCCGGGACCACTGGATCACAAGTCCAGCGTGCTGTCCGCTCGGCCGACCGGCTCCCTAATTGTTCATTACATCTAAGTATGTACGATGCTACACATAGTTACAATAAAGCACTATGTAAACAGTAGTCTTGATTACATATTGACTACATAGTTCTCGAGAACCCAACGTCTTCCAGAACCCGGGCCCAAGGGTTATGTCCCAACCCTGGCTTCATGACGTGTACAGAAACGTTGGTACAGCTACACTAATTCGTTATCAAAATGTGACTCCTGGTCCCCCTCACAAGCCACATAATGATTACAAATACCTGTTACTTATATCACAACTTTATTGAAGTTCTGACAACCATGGGGAATGGACCTTCAAAACCAGTCCAGATTCCCGGTGGAGGAGATTTCTGCAAATTCAACTTCAATAATAAACAGATAAACTGGGAGCAAATAAACCAGGACTTCACAGAAATAAACTGGGAAGAACAGCTAGGAAATACAAACCTGAACCAGTGCCTGGAAAAAATAAGCTCAGTAGCACTAGAAATATGTTCAAACCGCATACCCCTAAGAAAAAAGAGAAAGAGATGGAGATTGGAACGGGAACGTCGTTCCCTATATAGGCGAAGAAAACGAATCGCGGAACAACTTGAGAGTCGCACCCTATCTCAAGAACGGCGAAGAAGGTTAGGTAGAGAAATAGAAACAATTGAACTCAAGCTACAAGAATCATACAAAACCCAGGAGAGGCAAAGAGAGCAAAAGGCCATCAGTGAAATAGAGAGAAATCCGAAATATTTTTTTTCCTATGCAAAATCAAGATAAAAAACCACATCTAGTATCGGGCCCCTGCGAAAGGGAGATGGAACTTTTACCGATGACAACAAAGAAATGAGCGAGTTACTGAGGAAGCAGTACGACTCTGTTTTCAGCGAGCCATTAAACACACTAAAGATTGAAACCCCAAATGAATTTTTCATGGATATGATACCAACATCAAATCATATATCAGACGTCACCCTGTTCCCACTGGATTTTGAAGAAGCCATAAACAGTATACCTATGCACTCTGCACCAGGCCCGGATTCTTGGAACTCCATATTCATCAAGAACTGTAAAAAACCACTATCGCAGGCCCTCCACATTCTGTGGAGACAAAGCCTAGATACTGGCGTTATCCCTGACATACTAAAAACAGCAGAGATAGCACCACTCCATAAAGGAGGAAATAAGGCAGAGGCAAAAAATTACAGACCGATAGCACTAACATCGCACATCATAAAAATTTTTGAGTGCTAAGAAGTAAGATCACAAAATACATGGAATCACAGCATCTCCATAACCCCGGACAACATGGTTTCAGAACAGGGCGCTCTTGCCTGTCGCAGTTGCTGGACCACTATGATATGGCATTAGATGCTATGGAAGAAACAAAACGCCGATGTAATTTACACAGATTTCGCAAAAGCTTTTGATAAATGTGACCATGGTGTTATTGCACATAAAATGCGTTCAAAAGGAATTACCGGAAAAATAGGCAGATGGATCTACAATTTCCTGACTAACAGAACCCAATGTGTAATAGTCAACAAAATAAAATCCAGCCCATCAACCGTGAAGAGCTCAGTCCCCCAGGGTACTGTGCTTGCTCCAGTACTTTTTCTCATCCTCATATCGGACATAGACAAGAACACAACCTATAGCACTGTATCATCCTTTGCAGATGACACTAGGATCTTCATGAGAGTAGGCAACATAGAGGACACGGCAAACCTCCAATCAGATGTAGATCAGGTCTTTCTATGGGCTACAGAAAATAATATGGTGTTTAACGAGGATAAGTTCCAGCTCATGCGCTACGGGAAGCTTCAAAGCCTTTATTGTGGGACTTCGTGGTAAGATACCTGCTATATTATCTGGTGGGGCTTCTGCGTCCGCCACACTGGCTGGCCACAACACCACAACCCCACGGGCTCACCATAGCCCGTGCTACTTGCAACTCTTTGTTACAGGTAGCGAATCAACAACAACCACAACCCCTCGCTCCATGTGATAGCACTCCCCGCTTACCTTACCCTGTGATTACCTTGATTCCGGGGCTTAGCGTCTCCGCGGCCCGGTCCTCGACCAGGCCTCCTAGTTGCTGGTCTGGTCAACCAGGCTGTTGGACGCGGCTGCTCGCAGCCAAACGTACGAGTCACAGCCTGGTTATCAAGTTCTCTCTTCGAGGTGTTTATCAAGTTCTCTCTTGAACACTGTGAGGGGTCGGCCAGTTATGTCCCTTATGTGTAGTGGAAGCGTGTTGAACAGTCTCGGGCCTCTGATGTTGATAGTTCTCTCTTGAACACTGTGAGGGGTCGGCCAGTTATGTCCCTTATGTGTAGTGGAAGCGTGTTGAACAGTTTCGGGCCTCTGATGTTGATAGTTCTCTCTTGAACACTGTGAGGGGTCGGCCAGTTATGTCCCTTATGTGTAGTGGAAGCGTGTTGAACAGTCACGGGCCTCTGATGTTGATAGTTCTCTCTTGAACACTGTGAGGGGTCGGCCAGTTATGTCCCTTATGTGTAGTGGAAGCGTGTTGAACAGTCTCGGGCCTCTGATGTTGATAGTTCTCTCTTGAACACTGTGAGGGGTCGGCCAGTTATGTCCCTTATGTGTAGTGGAAGCGTGTTGAACAGTCTCGGGCCTCTGATGTTGATAGTTCTCTCTTGAGCACTGTGAGGGGTCGGCCAGTTATGTCCCTTATGTGTAGTGGAAGCGTGTTGAACAGTCTCGGGCCTCTGATGTAGATAGTTCTCTCTTGAACACTGTGAGGGGTCGGCCAGTTATGTCCCTTATGTGTAGTGGAAGCGTGTTGAACAGTCTCGGGCCTCTGATGTTGATAGAGTTCTCTCTCTGAGTACCTGTTGCACCTCTGCTTTTCAACGGGGGTATTCTGCACATCCTGCCATGCCTTCTGGTCTCATGTGCTGTTATTTCTGTGTGCAGGTTTGGGACCAGCCCCTCAATTATTTTCCACGTGTAAATTATTATGTATCTCTCCCGCCTGCGCTCAAGGGAGTACAGATTTAGGCTCTTTAGTCGGTCCCAGTAATTTAGATGTTTTACCGAGTGGATTCTAGCAGTAAAGGATCTATGAACGCTCTCCAGGTCAGCAATTTCTCCAGCTTTGAAAGGGGCTGTCATTGTGCAGCAGTACTCCACTCTAGAGAGCACTAGCGTCTTGAAGCCCCATGCACCAGCACCATAAGAGGCTGGTGCACAAGTTGGAGAAACAGGCAAGAATATGTAGTGGATAAGGGAGTACCTAGGCCATAGAAAACAGTAAGTTACTGTGAGGCGGTGAGACCCCAAACTGACGTGATGTCACGAGCGGAGTCCCACAGGGTTCTGTACTCGGACCTATCCTATTTTTGTTATACGTAAATAATCCAGCGGGCATAGACTCATCCTCTCAACGTTTGCTTATGACGCTAAAATTATGAGATGGATTATGACAGAGGACAGCATGAGACTACAAGATGACCTAGACAAACTGAAGGAATGATAACAAAAATGGCTACTAGAGTTTGACTGGAGCAAGTGTAAAGTTATGAAGATAGATGTAGTGAGCAGGAGGCCAAACAGAAGGTACCAGTTGGGAGATGAAAATCCTTCAGTAATCAAGAAGAAAGATCTGGGGGATTGACACGAGACGAAAAGCAGGAGGGAGTGGAAGAAGTACAGAGGTCAATGGACAGAAGAAACCCGGAATAGACACAGCATGACAAGGAACAAATACATAGATATGCAGACGATGAGTCACAATAACGAGGCTGAAGACATGATGACCACACTACACACCAGAAGATGAGCAGACGAAGACGTTTCGGCCCATCTTGGACCATTGTCAAGTCCAATGCAAAACATCGTCGTCTCCCAACCACTTGGGCTGGACGGTAGAGCGACGGTCTCGCTTCATGCAGGTCGGCGTTCAATCCCCGACCGTCCACACAAGTGGTTGGGCACCATTCCTTCCCCCCGTCCCATCCCAAATCCTTATCCTTACCCCTTCCCAGTGCTATATAGTCGTAATGGCTTGGCGCTTTTCCGTGATAATTCCCTTCCCTTCCTCATCTTCTGGTGTGTGGTTTAGTCTTGAAATACAGAAATATATGAAGATTGTCCGAAAAACACTATGAACATTATATTGTCTAAAGCAAAGAGACAGCCACTACTCCTACATAGTCAAATAAGAGACTGCGAAACCAATTACTTGGTTATGAAAAAGAGGAGGTTAATATACCGGAAATGATAAGGAAATGTGTGAAGAACTCAAAGCCAGTTTCCATGGAGTGTTCACAACCGAGCCTAAACAGCTCCTAGTGATAAAAAAGGAGCTACCCCTGCAGGAGAAGTTAAAGTTAATTATTGAGGTAACAGCAGAGGCAGTAAGGAACCAACTAGCAGCACTAAGACAAAACTAAAGCTATTGGGCCAGACAACGTATTGCCATGGATGTTAAAAGAAGTTACACAGCCCCTCAGCTAAC